AGGAGGAGGAGGAGGAGGAGGAGGAGGAGGAGGGGCGATGATGATGAGGAGGAGGCGGAGGGGGGATGACGATCATGATGATGAGGAGAAGGGGATGACGAGGAGGGAGAGAAAGACGGCGATGACGAGGGAAAACGTGGGCAGGAGGGAGAGGAGGAAAATAGAAGTGAGGAGGGCTGACAGCGCGAAGAGCAAACTCCACGGACCGTCTGGCCAGTCTGGCCGTTCTGGCGGGTTGCTTTCTGGATCCCCGCTCTTCCCGCACTTCCCGCTTACACCCTCTCATCCTTTCTCTTTCCCCATTCGTGACTCCTCTGTCCTTCATTCTCCTGCCCTTTTCATCTCCCATTTCTCCTCTTCCCTTCCCTTCTTTCTAGCTTTCATCACGGCTCCTTCCTCCATCATCACCATCATCTTCGCCATACTCACCGTCATGTTCAAAGCGGACTCGTAATATTCCTGCTCATCCATATCTACCTCAGCATGGTCCACTTCATCATTATCATTGCCATCAGCATCATCAGCATTCTTATCGTTCGCATAATAGTAGTCATCTTCCACGGAGTTCCCTCATCACGGTCAGAGCTACTCTTAATACAACCATCATGTTCCCCACATGCTTCCCCTCATAGTCATTACCATCACCATCAGACTCGCCATCATCACCATGCCCCGCTGGCTGCTCCTCATCATACATGTCTTCCTCATCGGCATCCTCACCAATCTCAACATGCGACTCCGCCCTGCCTGGATAGACCTCAACCGACCGATACGTGGGTGATGAGTATGAGATGCGGCAATGAACATAATAATATTATAACGGAACGGGGCATGATGAGGAGGAGCAGGATGCAGAGACGCAGGAACTTTGTGAGGGCCGGATGTAGGAATAGATGCTTACATCCGTTCCTATACCCCCCATCATCATCATCATCACCATCATCACCATCATCATCATCATCATCATCACCATCATCACCATCATCATCATCATCATCATCATCATCATCATTGTCATCATCATCATCATCATCATCACCATCATCACCATGCTCCTCCTGGTCCTCTGCCGCCTGCTGCTCCTCATCATCACCATCATCATACTGCGACTCCTCCTTCCTTGGGTAAACATCAAAAGCCCCAATAAGTTGACGACGAGCATAAGATGAGGCAGAGAGCCAGATCATTATACCACAGACAGAGAAACATGAGGGGGAGCAGGACGCAGATAATAGGACATCTGTTAGACACGGATTTCGACGTTGATGCCCAAGTCCGTTCCTACACTTCGGGTTGTATAGATTTTCAGGGTGGTTGACATTGCAGTTGTGTTCCTATTGGTTTGACGCGCACAGGCGTCGTATTCCCAACCCGCCTGTGGTGTTGGGTACTCGTTTTGAATAGAGCAGTGTGGTCTCCACCTCCTCCTCCTCCTCCTCCTCCTCCTCCTCTCCTCCTCTCCTCCTTCTCTCCTGTCTCCAGTGTTCCCTTCTCCTCTTCTCTCGTGCCGTCTGCGATCTGCGCAACTGTCGTCACTTTCGTGGGCTCCTGGGGGGCTCAGCGGAGGTACGTCCCACGCGGATCACCTCGGTACCTTGCCGCCCCCTGGGGGGCTTGCGATCTGTGCAATTGCTGCCACTTTCGTGGGCTCCTAGGAGGCCCAGCGGAGGTACGTCCCACGCGGATCACCTCGGTACCTCGCCGCCCCCTGGGGGGCTTGCGATCTGCGCAATTGTCGCCACTTTCGTGGGCTCCTGGGGGGCCCAGCTCCCACGCGGATCACCTCGGTACCTCGCCGCCCCCTGGGGGGCTTTGTTGCTGTTGCTGGGGTGTTCCCACGCGAATGTGCGTTTGCTGTTTTTGTTGCTGTGTGCGTGACGTCTCGCTTGATGTCGCTCCCCCTGTTTTTGCGATGTGCGCCAATTACGCCATTGCGTGGGCTCGGGGGGGGCTCCCCCAGCGGAACTTGGTTGACGTCCCACGCGGATCACCTCGGTACCTCGCCGCCCCCTGGGGAGCTTGCGATCTGCGCAACTGTCGCCACTTTCGTGGGCTGCTGGGACCCCCAGCAGAGGTACGTCCCACGCGGATCACCTCGGTACCTCGCCGCCCCCTGGGGGGCTTGCGATCTGCGCAACTGTCGCCACTTTCGTGGGCTCATGGGAGGACCAGCGGAGGCACGTCATACGCGGATCACCTCGGTACCTCGCCGCCCCTGGGGGGCTTGCGGTCTGCGCAACTGTCGCCACTTTCGTGGGCTCCTGGGAGGCCCAGCGGAGGTGGGTCCCACGCGGATCACCTCGGTACCTCGCCGCCCCCTGGGGCGGCTTGCGATCTGCGCAACTGTCGCCACTTTCGTGGGCTCCTGGGAGGCCCAGCGGAGGTGGGTCCCACGCGGATCACCTCGGTACCTCGCCGCCCCCCTGGGGGGCTTGCGATCTGCGCAATTGTCCGCCATTTCGTGGGCTCTGTTGGGGGAGCCAGCGGGGTACGTCCCACTGCGAATCACCTCGGTACCTCGCCCGCCCCCGGGGGGGCCTTGTGATGCTGCGCAATTTTCGCCACTTGCGGGGGTGCCGGGACGGCCAGTCGAGATACGTCTCCAGTGGATCACTTTGTACATCGCCGCCCCCTGGGGGGCTTGCGATCTGCGCAATTGTCGCCACTTTCGTTTGCTCCTGGGGGGCCCAGCGGAGGTACGTCCCACGCGGATCACCTCGGTACCTCGCCGCCCCTGGGGGGCTTGCGATCTGCGCGATCGTCGCCAATTTCGTTGGCTCCTGGGAGGCCCAGCGAAGGTACGTCCCACGCGGATCACCTCGGTACCTCGCCGCCCCCCTGGGGGGCTTGCGATCTGCGCAATTGTCGCCACTTTCGTGGGCTCCTGGGGGGCCCAGCGGAGGTACGTCCCACGCGGATCACCTCGGTACCTCGCCGCCCCCTGGGGGGCTTGCGATCTGCGCAATTGTCGCCACTTTCGTGGGCTCCTTGGAGGCCCAGCGGAGGTACTTCCAACGCGGATCACCTCGGTACCTCGCTGCCCCCTGGGGGGCTTGCGATCTGCGCAGTTGTCGCCACTTTCATGGGCTGCTCGAAGGCCCAGCGGAGGTACGTCCCACGCGGATCACCTCGGTGCCTCGCCGCCCCTTGGGAGGCTTGCGATCTGCGCGATTGTCGCCACTTTTGTGGGCTCCTGGGAGGCTCAGCGGAGGTACCCCCACGCGGTGACTGGATGCTCCTGCGTATCCTCGAGGCCGCGACCTTTCGCTTCCACTTTTTGGTTCTTTTCTTTGGGTTCGCTGCTGCGCCCTTTTGTCCCCACTTTTGAGTCAGTCTCCGCCCGCGTTATGCGCCTCATGCATTTGCCTCTTTCAACACAGCGCGTTGCTGAGTTTAGCCGATGTTCTGGTTTAGTCCTCGACGCCCCCCGCTTTTGTATTTCTTACAACGCCCTTGTGCTTCCATTTTCTATGTTTGCTGTTCCTCTTCTTGATGCTTTGTTCTGATTTCACTCCTGAGTGCTCTGCTTGCGCACTGAGGGTCCTTCAGAATGCCAGTCAGCATTGAGTGGTCCTGAACATAAGCGCCACGTGTATAAAAAAGGGTTGGGTACGTCGCAGGGTAATTGCTTTCTTTTTGGCTCCTATTGCAACGGGTCACTGATGCTCTCCCTTATCAGGGCTAAGTCTTCCAATTGATCGGAACGGGTTTAGGCCTTTGTGCCTAAATCCGTTCCTCACATGTTGCCTGTTTCTCTATATCCTGCTACCCCTCATCGTGCATTTGCCCGTTTTACCATTATCAGGTTCTCATCTCACTCTCACCATGCACGTGTCATGGCTGTTGATGGTGGTGGTCATTCCGCCAAGAATGAGCAGGCGGAAGAGGATTAGGAAGAGCCTGGTGATTCTTATGATGATGCTGATGATGCTCATTGAGCGCATGCAGATGTTGAGTAGGATGAACGTGCCGGTGGTGGTCATGATGCTGATTTTGATTTTGATTTTGATTTTGATTATGATGATGGTGATGATGAGGATGGTGATGACGATGACAATGACGCTGCTGCTGATGCTGCTGATGATGCTGCTGATGATGATTATGATGCTGCCGCTGATCATGATGATGCTGATTATGCTGATGATGATGATGATGCTGACGATGCTGCTGCTCATGATGCTGATGATGATGATACTGACGATGATGATGCTGGCGCTGCTGATGCTGATGATGATGCTGCTGATGATGATTATGATGCTGCCGCTGATCATGATGATGCTGATGATGATGATGCTGACGATGATGATGCTGACGATTCTGATGATGCTGATGATGATGCTGATGATGGTGACGACGATGATGATGATGCTGAGGATGCTGCTGCTGATGATGATGATGATGCTAATGATGCTGCTGATGATGATGGTGATGATGATGCTGCTGCTGCTGCTGATGATGATGATGATGATGATGATGATGGTGGTGGTGGTGAGGATGACACGCGCTACAACTGCGCACGCAAACAAGCTCACGTCATGGGCTGTCGCGCGAAAATGCTTTCCCGCGTGAGAAAACAGTGTCCGCCACATAGTCTTAAATCTTCCCCCTCCCTCATCCCCAGACGGCCAACGACTGTATAGTTTCGAATATATGGGCCCCAGACCTCTCGACCCATTCTCTGGGACTGGCTTTCCGTCCTGACTCGCTTTCTGAGAGCCCCAGGGTCAGAAGCTGGCCCCCAGAGTTCGAAAATGCGGAAACAGCCCAGATTACATGTTTTCGAGATCCGACGTCTCGCAACAACAGAAGCATCGCAAGAAATCACGACTGGAGCCTCAGACCTCATTTTTCTTGCGTCACTCTTCCAGCCAGATCGATCTGTGAGGGCCCCAGGGCCCGAGACCCGGCGACAACGCCCGGCTCAAAACATTGCGTCGCCAGGATCTCAGGGTTGTTCAGGCCCGGATCCCCCCGCCTCTCCTCGACCGTCCCGCCGTCAGGATCAAGGGCTGGGCCAAGCCGCTGCCCTTCCAGCGCCACGCGGCGCAGGACTGCGGGCACGCCGCGGCCGACGAGTTCGGCACGCTGCCCGGGCCGGGGCAGCAGGTCGGCGGCGAAGTCCGAGCCCTGCCCTCGCCGATCAACGATTCTACTACTACTACTACTGCTACTACTACCACTGCTACTGCTGCTGCTGCTACTACTGCTACTACTACTACTGCTACTACTACTGCTACTACTACTACTACTACTACTACTACTACTACGACTACTACGACTACTACGACTACTACGACTACTACGACTACGACTACTACTACTACTACTACTACTACTACTACTACTTCTACTATTATTACTATTTCTACTACTTCTACTACTTCTACTACTATTCCTACTACTACTATTACTATTACTACTATTACTACTACTACTACTACTACTGCTACTACTACTACTGCTAGTAGTAGTAGTACTACTACTACTATTACCCCCGCCTCACATCGATTCAGGAGAATCGAAGGTTGGCGGGGGCAGGGCTCGGATGTCGCCACCCAGCAGGTCAACTACCCAGGGCCAGAGGTGCACGCTGCGCAGGACGCCCCCAGCTTTCACACGGTGTGTTTTCGGTCAGCTTTCGGGCCCCGCGACCACACATCGACCCGGCTCGAAAAATGCTTCAGAGAGATGCAGTCGAGGTTTTCCACAACGGGCGCTTTCGCCAGGAGTCGGGCCCCGTGGCCATCACAGATCGATCCTGCTCGAGATATGCTGCAGAAAGATGGGGTCTAGGGTTCCACTCCACTCGTCATGGCGCCAACATCGCAGAGCGGATTTCGTTCAGAAAACGATAGGGTGGGCCCGGAGTGTCCTGGAGAATTTCGTTCCGGATATTTCGAGGTGACTTTCGTTCGGAATTTTTTGGCCAGGAATTAAGACCGAAAATAATCCACGCGAAATTAACTTCGTTTTTCGCTTGCCGTGTCGGGCAAAAATCCACGCAGAAAGCCACTCAGAAATCCGCTGCAGCACGTCTGCAAGGCTGGTGCAGTGACACTCGCGATGTTGTTGTTTGTTTTTTTGTTTTTTATAGTCGGATTTCAGGGAAAGGGGGAGGGAGGGTAGGCACTACTTTTCAGCATTGTGCTTGGCTTCGGGGGGGCTACCAGTGGTCAGGGCTGGGCGCATCGTTAAGCAGCGGCCAGTTGTGCATGCGTACTGCTGCTGCTGCTGTTGCTTCTGACCGCAAACGCGCTGTGGTGCTCAAAGGCAGGCTGTGGTGCTCGCAGGCACGTTGGCGCGCACAGGCACACCTCGGCCACGCGCAGAGGGGGGTGAGGGGGGGAGGGGGGCAGGCTTCTTAGAAGGATGCTGCTCTTTAGAAGGCGATCGTCTTATTTATGCATGGAAGGCCAGCGCCTTCTAAAAAGCATACTCGGTCGAAGAAACCTTCCCCCCTCCCCCTCCCCTTCTGCGCGCCGCCAAATATCGCGGGACTCGCAGGGTGTTGCGAGTCAGACGAACTGGGGATGCGTGCGGAACGCCGTCCGTCGACGGCGGTGGGCGCGGTGCAGGACGCCGGCCTGAAGACCGCGGCCGACACGCTCGCCAAGTACCCGCTCGTGGCCAAGTAGGTCCCGGCCAGGGCCGAGCGCGCAGTGGGACCGGACCTCATGCACTGCCAAGGTCGGGTGTTGCCAGAATCGTCCCTGGCCCAAGGTGTCCCCTGGGTTTCCAAGGAGGCCGCCATGGCCTCAACGGCCCCCCCTCACGAGGCCTAGAGAGCCCCAGGGGCTCCAAAATGGCAGGAAGAGCTGGGGACACCTTGGGCGAGGACCACTTCTAGCAACACCCGACAAGGGGCGTCTGGTGTTCCCCTCTCCCTCCCACCTCTTCCTTTCATCCTGCTCCCCCTCCTCCTCCTCCTCCTCCTCCTCCTCCTCTTCCTCCTCCTCCTCCTCCTCGTCCTCCTCCTCCTCCTCCATCTCCTCCCCTTCTCCTCCTCCTTCTCCTTCTCCTCCTCCTCGTCGTCCTCCTCCTCCTCCTCCTCCTCGTCCTCCTCCTCCTCCTCCTCCTTCCTTCCTCCTCCTCCTCTTCCTTCTCCTCCTCCTTCTCCTCCTCCTCGTCCTCGTCCTCCTCCTCCTCCTCCTCCTCCTCCTCCTCCTCCTCCCCTTCCTCCTCCTCCTCCTCTCCTCCTCTTCTCCCTCCTCCTCCTCCTCCTTCTCCTCCTCCTCCTCCCTCCCCGTCCTCCTCCTCCTCCTCCTCCTCCTCCTCCTCCCTTTCCTCCTTTCCTCCTCCTCCTCCTTCTCCCTTCTCCTCCTCCTCCTCCTCCTCCTCCTCATCCTCCTCCTCCTCCTCCTCCTGTCGGGTCGGACGATCGGATGGGGATAGGGATAGGGAGAGCTACGAAACCTGCTGTACGCAGCTGGTCTTCTCTCCGTCGCCGGGCGCTCTCATCGATGCATTGGCGCCTCAGGAGCCGGAGGCGCCGGTGAAGTCAGCTACAAAAGCTGATTCGCCAACCACCCCTTGACTATCCCCTCCCCGCTTCTCGTCCGACCCGATCTTCTTTCTCCTCCTTTCTTCTCCGCCTCTTCCTCTTGCGTTTGGCGAACTTCAGCCACGGAGCTGGAGCGTACTTCCTCCTCCTCCTCCTCCTCCTCCTCCTCCTCCTCCTATCTCCTCCTCCTATCTCCTCCCTCTCCTCCTCCTCCTCCTCCTCCTCCTCCTCCCCCTCCTCCTCCTCCTCCTCCTCCTCCTCATCCTCCTCCTCCTTCTCCTCCCCCTCCTCCTACTTCTCCTCCTGCTCCTGCTCCTCCTCCTGAGGGGGCCACATGCGAACCCCACCCCTACCCCCCACGAGTTCTGAGGTGTGGGTGGGGTTCACCTCGTTCGGGGCTCCTGAGCGAAGTGAACCCCACCCTCCCCCTCAGAAATCGTGGGGGGTAGGGATAGGGTTCGCATGTGGTCCTCTCCTCCTCCCCCTCCTCCTCTCCTCCTCCTCCTCCTCCTCCTCTCCTCTCCTCCTCCTCCTCCTCCTCCTCCTCCTGCTCCTCCTGCTCCTCCCCCTCCCCCTCCTCCCTCCCCTCCTCCTCCTCCCCCTCCTCCCTCCCCTCCTCCCTCCTCCTGCTCCGGCTCCTCCTCCTCCTCCTCCTCCTCCCTCCTCCTGCTCCTCCCCCTCCTCCCCCTCCCCCTCCCCCTCCTTCTCCTCCTCCGAAGATCCTCACCCCTCGAGCAGTGAAACCTTCGCAGGGCGCTCGGGGGAACCTCTGACAGGGCGTGGCTCTCGAACCAGCAACGAGGTCAGGGTAGAGCGCACCGTGCAGCCCTGAACTCGACCGAAGTTTCGGGACGGGCCGCGAAGAACGAAGGCATGCGGGCGGGGGGTGACAAAACCCACTCGGGCCCCGCATGGGCAGGGGCCGAAGCCTGCGGTGCTGGGTGCACCAGGCAGGCCCCTGGAGCGCCCGAAGACCTCAAATTCGGACCGAGCCTGCCACGGGGAAGCAGAGAAGCGTGAGTGTCGCGGGAGCAGGCGGTCCGAGAGCGGGAGGAGGAGGAGGGGCCCCGAAAGCAGCCCTCCACCCACACACAGATCCGCCAGGGCCCGCGAAAGCAACGGCGAGCGGGGGCAGAGGAGAGGGGGGAGGCGGCGGGCTGCGGTCAGCGGGCGGTGCCAGCCGCTCGCAGCACTGAACCTCGAGAGCACGACTCGCAAGAACAGAAGAGAGGCTTCAGTTCGGAAGGCCGAGCTCGGGGGTGATGCGGCTCAGGTCGCAGACGTGAAGACAGCGAAATAGGCGAAACATGTCGTGATCGTGCAATAGAGACTCAGACATCACCAAGCATATCACGAAACAAAAGAGTCACCAGCACAGAGACGTCCATGCACCAAGGAACAAGATATGTAGATATGGAGCGAACGGATAGCACGGAGTTCCGATCCGTTCAGGGGTTATGGAAGCGTTCCTTGGCGGCAATACGCTGTCGAAGTGCTGCAAGTCGCTGTTCCCAAGATGTCGTCACCGCTGCTTGCTCCCTGCGCTGGTCCCCTTCTTCGTATGATCCAGTAACTTCTGGGCCATTTGCTCGAGGTGGCCCACAGCTGCCAATCCGAGCTTCAGACGTCCGTCCAGGTGCGTCGAGATCCTGATCACGGCCTGCTCGAGGAGCAACTTCGTCAGATCTGATCCCTCGCCGCTCTGGAATCCCTCCGCAATGCTGAACTGGAGCCTCATAAGCTTCAGACCCACAGCGCAATGCCGAGTCTAGTCTAGTCTAGTCTATTCCTCCTCCTCCTTCTCCTCCTCCCTCCTCCTCCTCCTCCTCCTCCTCCTCCTCCTCCTCCATCTCCTCCCCTTCTCCTCCTCCTCCTCCTCCTCCTCCTCCTCCTCCTTCCCCCTCCTCCTCCTCCTCCTCCTCCTCTCCTCCTCCTCCTCCTCCTCCTCCTCCTCCCCTCCCCTCCTCCTCCTCCTCTCCTCCTCCTCCTCTTCCTCCTCCTCCTGCTCCTCCTCCTCCCTCCTCCTCCTCCTCCTCCTCCCCTCCTCCTCCTCCTCCTCCTCCTCCTCCCCTCCCCTCCCCCTTCCCCCTCCCCCTTCCCTGCCTCCTCCGCCCCACGACGCCTGCCGGAGGGTCTCTCCTGCCTCCCCCCCCCTTCCCGCGCAGGACTCCGTGGGCTGCGGGCCAGCGGGGCCGGGAGGCCGCACGGCTCGTGGCCGCCGCCGCGGCCCTGCGCAGCAGAGGGTGGGGTCGCCAGCTCGCCAGGAGGGCGCAGGCTCTCAGAGATTGGAAAAAGGTACCCATGCCGCTACCCCTCACCAGCCTCGAACTTATCCCTGTCCCCAAGATTGACATGCCAAAAGGCGATGACAATCTTAGGGATGCGCCCACAAAACTTAAGGGAGTCCCTGAGATTGGCATCGTGATGAGGCGATGCCCAGCATAGGGATAGGGATATGTTCCAGGCTGGTAAACCCCTCCCCTCGTTGGCCAATTTCTCGGCCTCCTGGGAGGCCCTCGTCGTCGCCGCGCGGTTCGCCCCGAAACTCCTGGTCAGAACGCACCCTGGGAGAGGCCTGGGGAGTGGCAGTAGGGGTGCCTTTTGGTTTCCTCAGGTTCAAGGACGGGGTGAGCTTAACGTTCACACTTTTTTGTGAGTCGTCGAGGGTCCTCTCTCGAAGGACAAGACATGCATAAACATATCCTTTCGGAGCTCCGTGCGGACCTCTTGGATCGGCGCTGGACCCCTCCCTGGCGCCGATCCAAAAAATCAACGTGGACCCCCGAAAGCTCATGTTTATGCCGTTTCTTCTGGGGGGGTTCTCCGAAGGACTTAGGCGACCCGTTCTCCTCCTCCTCCTCCTCCTCCTTCTCCCCCTCCTCGCCCTCCCCTCCTCGGGTCGCCTACGGCCCCGGGGGAAAACGTCCAGTTTCTTCTTCAGTAGTGACGGTCTCATGTCTCTTCGGGAAGCTCGCGGCCCCCCCAGTGGTGACCTCCGTCGACATTGCCTGGGGATCTCCCCTTCGCAGGTGTGCCGCGCGTGCAGAAAAGCAGCACTCTCCCTCTTCGTGCTCGCCTGCTAGCCCCTTCTTTCAGGGCCGATTTCAGCAGGCTGTGCCTCGCCGCCCGATCCTGATGCGCGTAATCCATGATGCGGAAGCGAGTGACGGATAATGGATGTATGGATGGATAGTGATGGCGATGGTGATGGCGACGGTGATGGCGATGGCAATGGCAATGGCGATGGTGATGGCGATGGCGGTGATGATGATACTGATGATTCTTTTGATGCTGATGATGATGAATATGCTGAGGATGATGATGCTGATGATGATGATGCTGATGATGCTGATGCTGATGATGATGCTGATGATGATGAATGGTGGTGGTGGTGGTGGTGATGCTGATGATGAACATGATGTTTATGATGACTAGGATGATGATGACGAGGAAGACAACGAGGACGATGATGAGGATGATGATGATGATGGTGATGGTGATGTTGATGGTGATGGTGATGCTGATCATGCTGCTGCTGATGATGATCATGATGACGATGGTACTGATGATGCTGCTGCTGATGATGATGACGCTGATGATGATGCTGATGATGATTATGATGCTGGTGATGCTGCTGCTGATGACGGTGATGATGATGAAGGGGATGGTATGGCTGGCTGTATTGGTGCTGCTGGTGATTACTGTGCTGATGCTTATTTTGATTGTCATATTTAAACTTCGGATGACCAGCAGGAGACGACGGAATATGGTAATCTCGGATGAGGAGAAGGATGGCGGGATGTAGAGGGGAAGGAGGGTAACGGTGCAAATGAGGAGGTGGGAGGAGGCTAATGATGATGTTCAGATTGATGATGATGGCGATGGCGATGATGATGATGATGCTGCTGATGATGATGATGATGATCATGATGATGATGCTGATGCTGATGATGATGATGGTGATGATGGTGCTGCTGACGTTGATGATGCTGATGATGATGATCATGATGATGATGATGCTGATGTTGATGCTGATGATGATTATGATGAGGATGCTGATGGTGATGATGCTGATGGTGAGGATGACGACGCACATGAGGATGGGGAAGAGGGGTCGCGGATGGTGGGCGGGTAAAGTTGCTAATGCTGCTACTGATGACGACGATGATGGTGATGATGATGATGCTGATGATGATGATGATGATGACGATGATGATGATGATGATGATGGTGATGATGCTGATGATGATGATGATGCTGATGATGATGATGATGATGATGCTGATGATTATGATGATGAGGCTGATGATTATGATGCTGATGATGTGGAGGAGGAGGAGGAGGAGGAGGAGGAGGGGGAGGAGGAGGAAGATGAGGAGGAGGAGGAGGAGGAGGACGACGGTGAGGAGGATGATAAGGACGAGGATCGACGATACGGAGGGGGAGACGGCTGCTGATGATGATGATGGCTGTATTGATGCTGCTGGTGAGGGCTGTACCGATGCAGACATTAATGGTGGCTTGGTAACTGATGCTGGCGACGCGGATACCGAGGAAGAGTGTAATCTTTGACGGACGGACGATGGGGAAGGGAAGACGGATGGGATGGAGAGAGCGGGCGAGGGGGGGGGGGGAGGAGTGGGGGGGCGGGGTGGGGTGGTGGGTGTGGAGGGGGGTGGTGGGGGGGGAGGGGAGGGGGACGGGGGAGTGTGGTGGGTAAGGGGGGGAGGGGTGGGAGAGACAGACGAGACAGGGAGAGACGGGTGGTGTGTGTGTGTGGTGTGTGTGTGTGTGTGTGTGTGTGCGTGCGTGTGTGGTGTGTGTGTGTGTGTGTGTGTGTGTGTGTGTGTGTGTGTGTGTGTGTGTGTGTGTGTGTGTGTGTGTGTGTGTGTGTGTGTGTGTTTGTGGGGGTGGGGGGATGCTGATCAAGCTGATCATGCTGCTGATGGTGATGTTGACGGCAATGATGCTGATGTTGGCTATGCCGACGACGATGATGCTGACGATGGTGATGCTGCTGCTGATGCTGCTGATCAAGGTGATGATCTTGCCCAGTTGTTAACGGGCAAGCGTGCCTGTGTTGATGATGTTGGCGGGGAGGTGGAAGCTGTTACCGATGCCGATGGCGATAATGCCGATGCGGACGATGAATGATGATAATCAGATGCGGATGTTGATGCTGATGGTGATGGCGGTGGCAGCCATACGGATGATACTGATGATGTTGACGATGATGGATACGGTGGTGATGCTGCTGATGATGCTGCTGATGCTGTCGATGATGAACATGATGACGACGATGACAAGGATGATGATGTTGATGCTGATGATGACGCTGCTGCTGAGGACGATGCTGATGATGCTGCTGTTGCTGCTTCTGATGATGATGCTGATGAGGATGAGGAATCATATGATGAGGTTGATGATGCTCATGATGCTGATGCTGACGTTTTTGGTGTTGGCGATGCTGCTGATGATGCTGATGCTGCTGCTGATGCTAATGCTGATGCTGATGCTGCTGATGATGAGGAGGATGAGGAGGAGGATGAGGAGGAGGCAGGAGGACGAGAGAGGGGGGCAGGCGGATCAGGAGAAGGCTGATGAACAGGAGGGGTCGGAAGGAGGCAGGCTGAGCGGAATTGAATGAGGGAGTAGGGCGACGAGATTACGGGGAAGGGCGATGGCGGAGAATTTTAAGGGACGAGGAGGGATGCGGAGGAGGGTTCTGGAAGGACAGAGTGCTAGAAGCAGGATGAGGATGAGGAGGAGGAGAAGGATGAGGAGGAGGAGGATGAGGAGCTGGAGGTGGAGGAGGAGGGTGAGGACGATGTGGAAGAGGTGGAGGAGAAGGAGGATAAGGAATATAACGAGGAGGATGTAGGAGGAGTGGCGGAGGAGGCAGGAGGAGGAAGATGGATCAGCAGGGAGATTGAACAGGATGATAATGCTCATGATAATGATGCCTACGATGATGATGATGGTGCTGATGATGATTCTGATGATGCTGCTGCTAATGATGATGATGATGATGATGATGATGATTATGATGATGATGATGATGATGATGATGATGATGATGATGATGATGATGATGATGATGATGATGCTGGTGATGATGATGATGATGATGATGAGGATGATGATGATGCTGATGATGATTATGCTGATGATGATGATGCTAATACTGCTGATGTTGATGACGATGCTGATGATGCTGCTGATGATGATGCTGATGATGCTGATGATGTTGATGCTGATGATGATGATGCTGCTGATGATGATGATGATGCTGCTGATGCTGATGGTACTGCTGCAGCTGCTGATGAGGAGGAGGAGGAGCAGGATGAGGAGGGGGAGGAGGAGGACGAGGAGGAGGAGGAGGAGGAGGAGGAGGAGGAGGAGGAGGAGGAGTGCAGGCCAGAATAGGCCCCGTGCGCACCTGCCACAGGCCCTCCCTCCGTCCTCCTCCCTTCGCCCTCCGCCCTCCTCCCTCCGCCCTCCTCCCTCCGCCCTCCTCCCTCCTCCCTCCGCCCCCCTCCCTCCTCCGCGAGGGGGCTGGGGGGACGAGGGCCGCCCCGTCGACGTTGCAGCGCTTGCCGGCGATCGGATCAAGACTTTGGCTGCCGCGCAGCGTGGTCACGTGCATCGCGCCTGGGATTGCATCGTCCTCCATCCATGTGGCTCGCTGGAGCTTCATTGAAGCTGTGCGCGGCGTCGATGGGAGCGCCAGGTCATGCGACGGATCCGCCCTTCATCTGGATGGCCGCTGGAAGTTCAAGCATGCACCATGATCAATCGCAAGGTCGCCGCAAGCCAGATCCCGACTCCGAGCATGCTCCGCCCTTCATCCGATGAGGTATTGGGAGCGCCAAGCTTTCTGCAGAGTTGTCGTGAGGAAATCTCAGGCAAGAGAGAAGGCGCCGCTCTCCACACATGTAGCCGTTGGGCATTATGTTGCATGGCAATCCTTTGTGACGAAGTCGATGCGGGTTCCTGCTTACGAACATGATCAGCCCTCGACTCGAGCAGCTGCCAGACGCTCGAATGCACAATGTACGGCATGCGCATTCGCACACGCTTTCTGGAAGGATCTGGCCTCCAACCGTATGACTACTCGGACTGTCAACCTTCATGGTCATGAATGGTGAGAGCGTTCCAAGCGCGAACTTGACTTCGACAATGGTCCTCGCTCTGTCCGTAGAATTTTTCGAGGTGGTAAGCTATATGATCGTACGGTTGAGGAAGTTCGACGCGCTTGGTGGAAGGGATGACTAATGACAACGACGACGCTGCTGATGAGCAGATGCAGGCGCATGGAAGAGGATACTCATCTTGTTGATGCTGCTGCTGCTGCTGCTGCTGCTGCTGCTGATGATGATGATGATGATGATGATGATAGGATGCTGCAAATGCTGCTGATGATGTTGATGCTGATGATGACGACGATGATGATGTTGACGATGCTGGTGATGATAATGCTGATGATGCTGACGATGCTGATGCTGATGATGATGATGATGATGATGATGATGACGATGATGATGATGATGATGATGATGATGATGATGATGATGATGATGATGATGATGATGATGATGATGGTGATGATGATGATGATAGGGGGGCGGGGGGGGCGATGATGAGGGGATTGATGATGAGGGGAGAAGGGGACGGAAGAGGAGGAGGAGGAGGAGGAGGGAGAGGACGACTAGGAGGAGGACTGTTGAGCAGAACGAGGACGAGCTGGAATCATGATGATGATGCTGATGCTGATTGTGATGATGATGATGCTGCTGATGATGATAGTCGTTGTGGTGCTCACTGGAAAGCTGATGGGTGGTGGTGATGATGATGGTGCAGATGATACTGCCGATGGTGATGGTGATGCTGATGATACTGATGATGGTGATGATGGTGATGATGATGATGATGATGCTGGTGGTGGTGGTGGTGATGTTGATGCTGACGATGCTGATGATGCTGATGCTGATGATGCTGTCGTTGTCGATGGTTATCAGGTTGTTGGTGGTGATGGTGATTCCAGC